CAAGAGCAAGAAGGGTAGGCCATACAATGAGGCCAAAGAGATGATGAGAGGCTTGAAGAGCGTGCGAAAAGTGATTCGCCATCCGCTGTTCCGGAAGCGGATGATGGCAAAGAGGAGGCAGAGGCAGAAGCAGCAGCTGAAGCAGAAAGCCCCTGAGGAGAAGCCCATCGAGCCGGAGCCCCGAGGAGGCATAGATATTCCGGTGCCGGAGGGCGGAAGTGACTACGAGCCGACTTCACCTCGGTCGAGCGCCTCGCAAGACTTCTGGCCTACAATCCAGCAGATCGAGAAGTGGTACGACGAGATTGATGATGAGGTCTTCTCTGACCACAGCGATAGTCCGAGGGTGAGAAGACGCAGGTCGCTGGACGATGTGCCCGATCCCATCAGGCAGAAGCGGCCGCCAGAAGAGAAGCTGAGCGAGGAGCAGATCAGGAAGAAGTTCAAGGGAGAATTCTTCCAAACGGTGATGGTTGCCACAGCCGTGGAGGACTTCCAGGCCAAGCACAAAGGCAAAGTCAATTTGCCGTTGAAGGAGCGAGGGAAAGCCAATGCCTGGTTGCCTCGTACAGAGGTCAAGAAGTTGAGGAGGCTGTTAGACCTGCCCATCACCGCAGCGCGACTGCACAAGCAGCCAAGGAAACGGATGCAGAGGCCGCCCGGAGGAAAGAAGAGAGGTAGAGTGGTTGTGATGCTCAGCAAACAAGCCGGAGCCGCAATGGTGAGCCAGGAAACACTTGAGGAGGTGCGACAGCAGCCTAGAAGGAAAGCCCCATTTTTGTGGAGGGGCATGACGCTGTTCACCAAGCCGGAGGAGGCGATAGCAGAGGGGAACATGGCCTATGTTCAACTGGAGGAGGAGTTCTTCCAGGTGAAGGTCACTCAGCCCCAGGCCTGGAGAGAAATGGTCGAGCGTGAGAAAAAGCTGGAGGCCCTGAGCGAAGCGCTCATTTTGAAGCTCAAGAGCTCAGGGAAAGAGCTTGACCCAAGGCTCTTTGACAAAGATGAGGCGGCAGCGTTTGCGGAGAGCGATAAGAATGAGTGGGAAAGCTGGATCAAGAACAAGGTGATCGAGAGGATCAACCCGGACGTGGCTCGGCAGGTGGATCGATCCTTGGTGTTCCGTGCACCCTTGAGGATGGTGCGCACGAACAAGAGCAAGGAGGCCATGAAGCTCATTGCCAAGTCGCGGCTCGTGGTTCCCGGACACCTTGATCCCCAGCTTGGTGACTACCGGACAGACAGTCCAACGGTGGCGAGTGTTGCGGTGCGGATGACGAAAATCATCTGTGCCATGAAGAAGTGGTCCGGGTGGTTCTTCGATGTGTCGACGGCATTCCTGAGTGGAAAGAATGCCACCAGGCAGATTTTGGTCAAAGCCCCACCGGAAGGTTTGCCGGCAGTTGACGGCATGAAGGCCGTACGCCCTCATGAGCTGATGCGCATTGTGAAGAGTGCCTATGGTTTGCCAGAGGCACCTCGCCTGTGGTATCTTCGTGCTGTGGAGCTGCTGGAGGAGGGCGGCATGCAGGAGGTTCCCTTTGCGAGGTCTACGTTTGTCCTGGTGGACCCCAAGAAGACGGTGCGAGCCATCTGCGATTTGCATGTCGATGACGGCTTTCTGGTGGGCGAAGAAGGAGAGTTTCATTTTGAGAAGCTCAAGCAGTACATCAACGAGCACTTCAACATCAAGGAGTGGTCTAAGCTGGGTGAGAAGCCTGTGCGGTACCTGGGCATGGACGTCACCATGGGCACGGATGGAATCCAAGACAACATGGTGGACTATATCCGGAAGATTGAGTACAGCAAGCTGACGGGCCCGGATGAGAAGATGCTGGAGAGCACCAACTTCAAGGAGTACCGGCGCTTGGTCATGCAGATGCGGTGGCCTGCGGCCCATGTCATGCCAGACTTTCTGTACCGCATCAGTGCCCTGGCTCAGAAGTTTAAGGGGCCGAGCTACGCCGACGTCAAGAAGGCGAACAAGACCCTGAAGGATATGAAGGCCCTTGCGGAGTCCGGGGGTGCCATTCTGAAGTACCCGAACATCGGAGGCGAGGTGATGTTCGTGACCTACTTTGATGCTTCCTTGGGCAAGGAAGAAAAAGGTCAGAGTCAACAGGGAGCGGTTCACTTCATCACCTCAGTGAAGGCGGAGACACAGCCAGCCCCTGCGGGGATTTTGGAGTTCAACAGCAGCCGCATCTCGCGTGTGGTTCGCAGCAGTATGGCTGCGGAAGCAGCTTCGATGACGATGGCGGCGGATCACCAGCTCTACAACCGGCTGCTCTGGGAGGCGCTCACCAAGGGGCAGTTGGAGGTGCATGGAGACTGGCGGCAGCGGCTGACCACCAGGGGCCTGGTGGTGACGGATGCGAAGAGCCTGTATGATCATGTGAAGAAGGTCGGCCACCTCACGGCCGAGAGGCAGACTGCGTTGGATCTCCACCTCACCAAGCAGATGGTGGAGAAGGGCATCCTGGGCATCTGCTGGTGCCCGACGTTCAAGCAGTACGCGGATGCCCTCACCAAGGAGATGGACACCGAGCAGTTCACGGTGTACAGGCAGTTTTGGGAGCTCTGCATGAAGCAGACCGAACAGGACAAAGTCCTCGAGGAGCGTCGCGCGCTGCTCCGAAGGGGACAGCGCGAAAGGCGCAAGCTCCGCATGAGTGCCGCTTAGTCAACAGCAACACACTTTTCCCTCTGTGTGAGTTGCTAGCGGCATGGCATGCTGTTGACAAACCGCAGCTGTGCACAGATCTTAGCATGCAAGAAAGGTTGCTGCCTGCTTTGCGCTTAAGTCCCCCTAATAGGGGCAACTTCTGTTCTGGGGGTTGGTTCTTTTGGGGCCGCTCCCACAGATGCATGGAGACATAGATATGTGTTATCTATATATATATATATATACATGCATATAAGGGGTTTGGAGGCTTGGGCGGCCAACTACGCTTAAGGATGAGCCAGGATTCGTCACTGGTTGGCCGCATGTCCAGATCACTTGTCGGGGGACCTCATCGCTTGTGCAACCTGATCCAAGTCACACAACATCCTGCAGAGATAGGTGTTCCCACGTGAAGCGAACCGCCTGGACTTGAAAACATGCGGCGCCATTGGTGCAAACAAAAACCATCAAAGCCCGGGTAGAGGGAGAATCCCCGACCTTTTTGTTACCTCGTAAAAACACAATTGTTCTCAACTTTTTGGGTAGCATGGGCTATATGTCTGTAAAAGATTAACTTCCCCAGGGCTTGGAGTTTTAAAGGATTTTAATGGGTGCCTTCGCCGCCTTCTGAAATCTTGACATGGTTCTGGGTATACAGTACAATTCTAGTACCAGGTTTTGATTATGACTTACATGAGGCTTTTTCATGGGACGAGATGCCTGGTTTCCTGGTGCACTTTGAAGGGTATCACGTGAGTAACAACCGGTTAGCACATGAACACGTCCGGTTTCTGGATTTCCCACACATTTTTCTGTTGACATCTCCGGTGTGGTAACTGTACCTGTTGGTTGGGTATGCTAGCTGGTTGCTACTCACTAGGTCTATTAACCAGGCTCCCGCCTGCTGCAGCCGACCCTCGGCGCATTAAGGGAAAAGTCACAATGACCGGTCCTGAAACACGTCCGCAAACCCAGGGGCCACTTATAAGATTTTCTACGACCACAAACAAGGATTAACGGAAAAGTCGGAAATATGGCAGCTAGTCCGTTAATTGCCGCTTGGGCCGGCTTGCGCCCAAGTCACTTCGAGTTGGCCCGGGAGCAGTCGCCTGTCCCGGGTTGCCCTGAAACTGGCCCTCCCGAAACTGCCCCGGCGACAGTGGCCCTAGGGGCCCTGGACTGGTCGCCGGCAGGGACCGGGACTTGGGACCCTGTCCAGGCTGGTCTGAGTCTGGCGCGGTTTGACTCGACGTATTGGACTCTCTTGCAGATTAGATCCAGGGATCCTCTACTACCACAAGGATTAGCGGAAAAGTCAGACAGACGGCAGCTCGTCCGTCAATGACCGCACGGGCCGGAAGCAGCGACACTGGAGGAAACAGGTGTCTGGAGCTGTTTGAGGTGGCACCGGGTTTCTGCACCGGTTTGAAGTGGGATCCGATACCAGCGGTCACACCAGGACTCGATCCTGGGACCGGCTTGCACCAGTCCTGAAAGCGGTCCTTGGCCAGTCACACCAGGACTCGATCTGGGACCGGCTTGCGCCAGTGAAAGCGGTCCTGGTCGGGGCCAGTGCCAGGACCGGTTCCCAGCCCAGGACCGGTGGAACCGGTCCCAGGACCGATCCTGGGACCAGTCCCGGGACCGGTCCCAGGACCGGTTTTGGCTGACTGCAAGTAATCCGAAGCGGTCCCAAGACCAGTCCCAGGACCGGTCCCAGGACCGGTCCTGGGACCGGTCTGGGAATCCACTTTTTGTGCTTTCGGGCGTGCCCCCAGGGACTATCATTATTCCAATCACTTCCAGTTGCATCCCACGCCGGTCCCCTCTGCAGGAGGCTGGGACGGGAGGCAGAGGGTCGGCGGATTCCACCTTTTTGGTGGTTTGGAGCGTCGCCTTTGAGGCCAAGAACTCAAGTGAAATTGCTCCTGGTGATGCTTCAGGGCTGAGAATCTCAGGGATCCTGCCGGCCCCGATGCCGAACGTCAACCCGAAAAAGGGAGCCCAAAGCATCCCAAAGCTAAATCAATTGCAGCGCCCTGACTCGTTTCCTTGCCAATTTGAGGCGAGTTTCTTACAAGTGGGTCATATATTTGATCAGGAGAATCTTTTCAAGGGTGCCTCAGAGTGGTTGCATTCTGCGGTCTTCTCGAAACGATGGTTTTAGTAACAAGTGTTTTTTTCCTCCTTTGAACCCCGAAACTTCCCTCAACTTCTCACTCACCCTAACCGTCACCATAATCTCCCCCCACGCCCCCTCTCCCTCTCACCTGCCCTCACCCGTTTGGCCTCCATCAACTTCGAGGATCTCGCCTTCGCCCTTCGCATCGGCCAGGAGAGCCATACATCCAGGAGCGCGTGCGGAAAGAGTGGCTGCCGAGCTGGATCTCCAGCTGCAAGGAGCCGAGCTGTCAGGTGGCCCCTTGGCCGATTCCATTGGCTGCCCAGCACCGTTGGTCGAAGTTTTGTGACTTCGAGTTTAGTGGCAAGGTCCCACAGCTAGGTGCCAACTTTTACAATTTCTTTTTTGGGGGGAGATTCGGTTCCCTACTAAAATCGACCAGAAAAAACGGGTACCCTTATTCTAACCTCTCTACTGGAGGACCTAGGATGCCTTTTGCGACCGCAGGTGCCTGACTGGGTGGTCTGCGCCATGTCTTCCACCAGCCAGCTGGCGCAGGATTTGTGGGCGCCTGGGCATGTGCGATCGGTGCGATGGGTCGGGAATGTGACATGGACCGAACCCAGGCCAAAGCTTTGGTCCCCGAACAAAAGGAGACCAGTTGGATGGTTCATCTCGGGGTCATTCCATTTCTCATTTGGGTATGGGTCAAAATTAAACCACCAGGGGACCGCAGGTTTTGGTCTTGGGTTCCATTTACCAGGGTTCCCAAAACGGGTAGCTATTTTTGACCCACAGCCATTTTTTGCTGCCTACCAGCCGTCGCTTATTTTCCTTCTTGCGGCGGATTCAATCAACGTCTTGGCGCAAGGCCAAACCAAATGGATCCGTTTGCTTGGATGGCGTCAGGCCAGCAACCTGCTTCATCCAACCAGAGACTGCCCATCCCAAAAAAACCGGGCAGTTACCGCAGTCACCTGCCTGTTTGAGGCAAAGGCCTTGCACAGCTTTTGGACGCCGGCGCCAGCCTTGGTCCAAGCACAGTGCTCCAAAGCCTTCCTAAGCCATGTTGAGTCAAGAGCAATATGGTCAACCCGGGGCCTGCTGTCAATTTCATCAGCTAGTGGATGGGAGAGTGACCTGTTCCCAAATCAAATGGGAAACTACCTCTGAACAAACCAATCCAACAAGTTGCGAGTCGATGCCTTGTAGTTCATGGGCCCACAAAACACCTTTGGGTCAGGGTAGACTTTTAACACCAAGGCATTTTGCCAAATTGACCCAAAGGGCAGTGCTCCAAACCGCCACTGGGCGGTGGTTTCGCTTCACGGCCAGGTGCTGAGCCGTTTGGGCCACGCGGGGAAGCCCAGCAAAAAGGGCGCGCGGGGAATTTGGGGTAAATTTGAAGCCCGGTCTTTTACTGGTGGGAACAAAACATCTTCTGAAACACAACTAGGTCCCCCAATAGTGCCCTTAACCTCTCTACTGGAGGACCTAGACAAATACTGCAAAGGATATGGCAATGGTCAAACTGTAACATCGCTTTGAAACCATGGTTGAAGCTGTTGTTTGTTGGTATTTGCAGGGGACTGTTCATTGCAGGGCTGCTTAGGTGGTGCAGATTTAGTCAATCCACAATACAGTAGGGGGGAAACCTCGGGGGGGAACATTGGAAGAAGGGGAATTTGACGCCCGTTCTTTTACTGGGAAATTTGTGAGCCGGGGAGGGGTGAGGGTTAGAGGTTAGAGGGTTAGAGGTTAGGATTAGAGGTTTCGGGTTAGAGGTTGGGGGTTAGGGTCATCTTCCTAAAGAGCCGTTTTCTAGACGACAAGGTGGACGACGAGACTTCGAATGATTCACGAGCTCCGCATGAACCCCGTCGGTCCCCCCCCTACTGAGAATCAGCAACAAGTCCCAGTTGAGAGGCCCCCCTTGCCAAGAAGGGTTCTACGGGAAGGGAAGGCTACACGAAGATGACGGAAGACTACGGGAAGATGACGGGAAGATGACGGAAGACTGTTTTCCCTCTGTAGGTTCTTGTTTTAGTGCTCTTTGTCTAGGTCCCAGTATTGCCCTTTTACCCTTTTTTAGACTACAGGAAAAAACGGGAACCCTCGTTCCAACCTCTCTACTGTGGATCCAAAAGAAGCTTCCAAAGACGTCCAGGTCCGGCATGGGGCGTTCCTGGAGATCGGCGCGAATCACCCGGAGACCATGTCCAACACCTTCCTGCTTGAGCAGGCCGAAGCCGACATCGGCCTTCGGCCTTCGGCTGGAGGGGAACTCTACTGCTGTTGGGTTGGATCTTTGGACTTTAGCTTTTTGGATTCCCCTCATAGTTCCTTTTAACCAGCAAGCACTATTCGCCAGAGCCTATGCTAAGCCCGGTGTGATGCCCTCAGATCGCCGCCGGGAGCAAAAAGTTGAACTTTTTGCTGGGGGATCTGCAGCACCCAAGCTTGAGAGTTGGGACCACCTCCAAGGCGGGTTGAAGCACCACCTGAATGATGTCCAATCAAATCAGCAAATCATACCCCATACGATCCGTAACAAGGCCTCAGAAAGGCTTGATGTGGAGGAAACCAGGGAGACTTAGAGACGGGACACAGGGAATCCTGCGGAAAAGGAGTGCATCCAGGTTCGACATTAATTTGGAGAATGGGGGGGGGTTTGAGCCAATTTTGTTTTTTTTGTCCAAGGATGTCATCTCCCATGGTGGGGTTGGCACCCCCCATTTTCTAAATTGCGAATAAAAGAAAACGGGACTGGTCAGGAAGAATAAAGAAAACGGGTCTGGTCAGGAAGGGTCCTAGCTTGGCCCCCCCATTTTCTAATAGGCCGAGTTGGAAGACCACGCAGCTATTTGGTTGCCAGCTGGTTGAAAGAGAAACCACCATAAAGTAATCCCGGTGTAGACTCTTGCCACTGGTTCTTCAGGGGATCCAGCACGGGTGATATGCTACATGTTTTTTAAGGATTTTGATAGTTGTTGTTGGGACACTCTGGTGATTGTTGTCTGTCTGGCAGAGCGCGCCCTGCTGCAATTCTTCGCGGCCAGCCATGAGGCCATCTACTCGCGGAACACCACTCGGTGGGCGCAGTGCGCGTTTGAGTAATGTCCCCGCTGCTTGCTTTGCCGCAGTTGCCCAAGTTGAAATTGATGTCATCCTTCTCTCGCAGTCGTCAGGGCTGGCGGTTGACCTCCCCATTTTTGGCTCACGACGCTGCCGTCTTTGTTTTTTCATGATGAGGTTGGACCCCACAATTTTCTTTTATTGGGGGCCGGCCCAGTGCCACATCGGACTGAGGTGGGCCCCCCCCATTTTCGAAATTGTTTTATGAAGATGGGGCCGGCCCGCCGCTTTTAATAAAAAGGGGGGTCCAACCCGACCCCCTCAACACCAGAGCCCTTCTGAGTGCCATGCCTGGGTGATTCCCTGTTTGAGGGGATGCCTTTGATTGGTATGCAAAAGCGCATGACTCCGAAGATGGCACCACGTTGTGTTGCATGTCCACACATCTGCAGGCCGGGTGGCAGGGTCTCTGCGCCTGGTGCCTCGGTTTGGGGGAAAACCGGTTGCGAAAACCAAAGGAGTCAACTTGGACACGTTCAACGTTTTTTGTTGGGGACGTCCTGTAGCGCAGTTGATTGGAATTGAGTTGCTTGGCAGTTCCCAGCGAACCGTCCGGTTCAACTCAGTTTTTTAGTGCTTAGTAGGGATTTCCATTTAACTCGCTTTTGGGGCTCCCCTAAACACAGGGCACATGGAGCAAGAGATCAAGCTGAAAGGTTTAGCATTGCTCGTTTTAGAAACCACCCTTTGCTGGGGTGATGGTTTGTGGGGAATGTAAAGAAGACGGTTCCAGGACTGGGCAACATGTTGATTAGAGCAATCCCCCGCTGCGCAATTCGCGGTGGTTTTTCTGATGAGGTTCCCGTGGATTTATTTTCGGCTACATTCATGCAGAGTTCTCCTTACTTCACCTTTTGTCACTCAAGACCCCACCTTTGTTTGTGGGACTTGCAAGAGGGTTTCCTTCCGGGGTAATGTTTGAATTTGCACCTGACAGTTTCAGACACCTCTTTGGGGCCCAAGTCGGAGTTTCGTGTTGTTTGTCCCGGGTGCGGCCGTTTGGTTTGGTTTGCAAAGACACGTCGGCCCAAGCTGCATGGCTTTGAGGTGGAACCATTCCCACGGGGTGATTGGCAGGGAGCCTCAGGCCGCATTCGAAACGCGGCGCCTGGTCCGTTTTGGAGAAGTGCAGGGCTCGTGGTCCTTCCCATGGTGTGTTCTGAACACGCCATTGGGGCTTTGCTGTCAGGGGGGTTGGTATCAATTTGTTGGGGTGTCAAACCGACCCCGAAAACGGATACCTACAGACACCCGCGCCAACGTGCCAGTTCAGCAGCACCTTTTGCCAATCATCTCTCAAGAAACGGGGACACACAAAGGAGGCCAGCCTGACCAGCTATGAAAATGTCCGATGTGTGTTGTTTTCCGTCACAGAAACCGGGGACCTGAACCTGCGAAATAGTTAGGTGTGACGTTGGCTGTGGCAACTTCTTCGATTCTGAGGCCACTGGGCCACCGGGATCACAGGAGTTTCTGGCAAGGGGTTCATACATGCCAATGATCATGAACCTTCTGAGAGCTCATGCCACTTTGGACGAGGGCCATGGCTACTAGATGGGTGCCTGATTGTTCCGCAGGGTTTGCGAAAATCCTTAGAGGGAATAAAGTGGGAACCCTCCCGCTTGCAGAGATGTAGGAGGAGAGGAGCTTGCTTATCAAAAGAAGATCAGTGTTCCCCTTTGGTGGCTTCAAAGACTTGCTGGTGCTGGGGATTCCCTTAAAGGAAACCATAGGGGATGGTTTATCTCGGAGTCATTCCAAGTCTCATTCCCTGCCTAGCAAACCAGCAAGAATATCATGTTTCAAGGTTTCCTTTTGTTGGTCCATGTTTAGTCCTGGTGGCCCCAAGAGGTGTTCCGTTTGTGGGTCCTTTGGGCAATCGAGAGCTTTCCTATGTCCCCCACTATTGCCCTTTCACTCTTTTTTTGGGGGGAGGGCTTCCCCTACTAAAATCGGCAAAACCGAAAAAAGTTGGTACCCTCTCAACGTGAGGACCTAAGGGCCTTTCAAGACAGTCGCCTTGGGCCTTCGGCGCTTCGGTGCCTTGCGCCAGCTGCTTCTGGGCGGCTCGGCCCAGGTCCACGCGCACGGCCAAGCTGGTCATCGCCGCCGTGGGCGACGGCGAGAGGCGATGGCGGAGTGCGGGCGCGGATCGTCCGTTTGGTGAAGTACAGGGAGGTCCTTCCCATCGTGTGTTCTGAACACGCCATTGGGGGGTTGGTGTCAATTTCTTCCCTCCCCAGCTAGGTGCCAATTTTTACCGTTTCTTTTTTTTCGGTCCCAGGTTGGGTGGTTTCCTGTTTACGAAATGTCTCCCCCGCCCCAATTAACATGGAACCGGGGGGGGGGTCCTGGTTTGGACCATCTTCCTTTGAAAGCGACCCCCGAACTTTAGGTCCATGTCAATTGGTGGCAGGGCACACTCTACTAGAAGGGTTGCTGAGAAAGTCAGAGGACCCCTTGAACGGTTTCCCAAAAACGAACCAGGCTCGAACGCTTGCGCGGGCAAATCATGTGAGTAGAATGCGAAAGGGACCCATCCACCGGGTCACCCAATCGGGCGATAAGAGTCGGCACGTGCACGGGAAGGAGTCACGGCTGTGCTGGTGCTGCATGGCACATGTTTAGAATGATCAGAAGAGGATGGGCAAGCGTTCAACGTTTCCAGACCCCCAGTTTGGCGCTCTCTGTGTGGAACATGGAAGTTTTAGGGCCGCGTTCGAAAGTGATACCGAAGGGGTTCCTTCATGAAGCATGACAAATTCCATCATGAAGATCGTCATCCCGCTTTGGCATCACACAGGAGAATTGCCACATGGCCTGTGTTGCGGCTGGAGGGGGTTGTTTTGTCTTGTTTCTTTGGAGGGGGGTTGTCCGATTCCTAAAGCTAAAGGGCACACACCCATGTCACAGATCATTTGGATCCTTGGCAGCGTTGGAGACGTGAACCGACTTCTCCTGGGACAGGGGTGTTTATATTCTAAACTGTCCAGTGGCACCAAGTTTGCCGGTTTTGACAGCCCAGCCTGGAAAGCCCGCAGTCGATGGGATGAAGCCATCTACTTGGCCCAACTGAAACCTGAACGCCGGACCCAAAATTAACTTGACTTCCCATTTGGGATTCTGGGTGGCGCAAAGGTGCGGAACAAGCAGGGCGAAAACATGATAATTCGGGGATTTCCATGACTCTCTGGCAATCCTCTACAGAAATCGACCAGCTTCCTTTGTTGATGACTTGGATCGCATTGGTGATTCCACCCCCCCCCATCGCAAACACCACCTATCAAGCCACCAGCTCGACAAAGTGGTAGGAAAATTGAGGCCAAAGTAAAACGAACAAAAAAAACAACAAGCCAAGCCATCAGGCCACCGAACCGCCAAACCACCAACCCGCCCACTCACCAAACCACCAACCGGCAAACCACCAATTCGCGACACATCTAAACTGCTAACCTGCCCACCCACCAAACCACCAACCGCCAAACCGCCAAGCCACCAAACCACCAAACCGCCCACCCACCGGAACCACCACACCACCAAACAACCATACGACCAAACCGAGCCGCCAAACCACCCACCACCACCCAGGGCTCTTCGTCCTTATGAGCCAGGCAGCGCTTCCTCTTGCCGGGCTCCGTGTGGGGCGGACTGCTGCAGAGCTACCTGGAAGCAGACCTGATTGGGCGGTCAAGGGGCAAAGCCCTAGGCTTTGGGCGTAAGCCCCGTCAAGGCGGCTTGGGCATGGGCAGATGGAATATCTGGAGGTCCTTGGACTTCCTTAGGCATAGCAAAGTTGAGTTGTTTGTTCTGCTTGGTCCCTGCTTTTTGGTAGAGATCCATAGTGTTTTGCCTTCTCCTGCCAACTCAGCTGGCCAACATGTGTACCCCACTTTAGCAGGTGCAGGCGGGAATCAGGACATGCTCCAAGTTGTTGCCAGCCTTCCGAGCGAAGAATGAGCGACTCAGAACGCCTTCCAGTGTCGCAGAACTTGCGATTTCCCCAACCTTCTAGCCGGCTGATCCGGCTGAGTCCTTCGCGTTTGGAAAAGGCAACCGGGTTTAGCAGTGGTGGAGCATACTAATCAGGGGTGGCCCCCCATTTGGTGGAGGATTTGATATATTTTTGGGGATTCCTTTGATGATGGTCCCCCGGATGAATCCGAAATTCAATCGAGAGTTCCAGTACCTTCAATGGAGGTACTGGGAGCCCAAGAAAATGACCAACCCAGATTGGTTGGTGTTGCCTCGTTTAAGGGTTTCGTTTCTCAAGGGGACTTGAGGGGTCGACCGCGCGTGCCTTTGGTGACATCGCAGCTCAGGCATGGATGCGAGCAGCTCGGCAGGCATCCTGAAAGCCCTCCGAGGTGTTTGAACTTGGTGGCTCCCAGCCATCCCCTTAGCCTTTTAGCCTTTTAGTGTTTAGTGGTAGTGTGCATTTAACCCACTAAAAGTTAAGCTTTTAGCGGGGGATCTGAGGGCAGCCCAGTGAAGTCAACGGGCCCTTGCTTTAGGACATGGCGACTGGCTGGCTGACTTGGCGATGCGAAAACAATTGCCCCGAAAGCAATTGCCCCGACTTGTTCCGAGGCAATTTGCAAAGGCTGGAGCGGGACTACCCCAGGGCGTCTTGGTTCAACTCTGGCCGACCAGGGGCCAGAAGGCTGACCCATGAGTCGGCAAGCTCAGTCCTCTTGGGTGAGGCAAGGGGTGTCCCAATCGGGATTTAGAACTAGATTACTACGATTCTTGATTGCTATTGTAGACTTTCTGGTTGTGAAGCCAAGGGCTTTCCCATTCCCCCAAGATTGCCAGGAGAAGCTTCTCATGGGCGAAGTCGAGACCAGGAGGGTGCGCGTGGCGCGTGCATGGGCGGCGCGCGCATGGGCGGCGCGCGCATAGCTCTGAAGAGGCACCAAAAGGAAATGGACACAATGCCCTACACCAAGTAAAGCTCTCGCCTTGGGATACAACGAGCTCACTCGTTTGCCTGACCTCTCTCGCGCCAAACACGCTCGAATTCTGAGAATCCTTCGGATTCGCGAGGAGCATCAGCGACATTTTGAAGGACTGGCTGCCTGGCGCCGAACAGCAGGCCATTGGGGGGAGACATCAATGCTGGTGGATCCCTGTTGCCACAGTAGTAGGTTTCCAAGGATCGAGCTCTAATTCTTGAAATGCAGTCTTGCTGGCTTAAGTTGGCTACTAAAGTGGCAACTGCAAGCACTGGGCGAAATCTTGCAAGTGGGACTCCGGCCCTTTGGTCACCAGAATGATGGTTTTACAGAGATTCTATTTAGCAGGCTGACGCCTGATGCCGCCAACCCCCGTAACATCATCATCATTAGCATCAGCATCATTATCATCATCGTCATCACTGTCATCATCATCCTCAGCATCAGCATCAGCATCCTGATCATCCATCATCAGAACAACATCACCAGCGGCATCAGCATCCTCAGCATCATCATCATCATCATCATCATCATCATCATCATCATCATCATCATCATCATCATCATCATCATCATCATCATCATCATCATCATCATCCACCATCTCATTTTCATTAATTAGCATCAGCATCATCATCATCATCATCATCATCATCATCATCATCATCATCATCATCATCATCATCATCATCAGTATCATCAGCATCATCATTATCGTCTTCGGCATCATGACGGTCAGAGGTTAAGGTCAGGGTTAGAGGTTAGAGGTTCGGGTTAAAGGTCAAGGTTCGAGGTTAGGGTTAGAGGTTTGGGTTAGAGGTTGGGGTTGGAGGCTAGGGTTAGAGGTTAGAGGTTAGAGGTCAGGGTTAGAGGTTAGGGTGAGAGGTTAGGGTTAGAGGTTAGGGTTAGACGTGAGGATTAAAGGTTAGAGGTTAGGGTCAGGGGTTTAGGGTTAGAGTAGAGGTTAAGGTTAGAGCATGATGACGACGCTGATGTGGATGATGATGATGATGATGATGATGATGATGATGATGATGATGATGATGACTTGACGATGATGATGATGATGATGAATGATGATGATGATGATGATGATGATGATGATGATGATGATGATGATGATGATGATGATGATGATGAGAATAACGATGATGATGATGATGATGAATGATGATGATGATGATGATGATGATGATGATGATGATGATGATGATGATGATGATGATGATGATGATGATGATGATGGTGATGGTGATGGTGATGGTGATGGTGATGGTGATGATGATGATGATGATGATGATGATGATGATGATGATGATGATGATGATGATGATGCTGATGATATGGATGATGGCAGGTTCTGCATCCCGCGCAGACGTAACATTGCCCCAAACACTTGCAGGACGATGCTGGCGAAGCTGGGGATCCTTTTTTTTCTCTCCAATTTTCGAAGACCAAAAAGGCTGCTCCAGCATCCCCAGCAGGCAAAGCATCACCCCAGGCACCTGCAGCATGACGCCGGCGAAGCTGGGGATGCGAAAGCTGCCTTTTTTTCACAACTTTCCCAGACAGCTCCCGCATCCCCAGGGTTAGAGGTTAGAGTTAGAGGTTCGGGTTTGAGGCTAAGGTCGGAGGTTAGAGGTTCGGGTTTACAGGTGAGGGTTAGAGGTTAGGGTTAGAGGTTAGGCGTGTCAACAATCCGCCGTGGGACCTCCCCTCCCCCGCTCAGACTCCCCCTAACCACCGCTTAGAACACGCCTCGCCCCTTTGCAGAGACTGACTTGGCTTTTGCAAAAAGGGGTCGGCGGATTCCAAGCTCTGGCGGGCTCGACTTCAAATAACGGTTTCTTTCCGAGTTTTTCGGTTTTAGTAAAAAAAAACAGGCATTAAAACCCGGGTAGGTGAAGGGTAAGAAGGAGCAGCGCCAGCCACAAGTAGCTCCGGCCGTCTTCTTCATTTTTCTTGCAGGGATGTGGTGACTACCAGGTTTTGACTGCGACTCATTTCAATCACCCAATGTCGCAGTGGTGCCCTTTTACTCTTTTTTGAGGGGGGAGGGTTCCCCTACTAAAATAGACAAAACGGGCTCCCTTATTCTAACCTCTCTACTGGAGGACCTAGGAGGGAGCCTTGTCAACACTTTCACAATTGGAGGCAAGTTTCATAGCGGAGGGCGCTCCCAGGTGATTCACTTCTTGTCCATCGACACAGAGGGGTGCCTGGCTTATAGAGTGCGCGCGTTTCGGGTTTCCGTGTCTTAGGCGCCGGACAACGGTCCCCCTGTAGCGCCCTTTTGCCTTTTTTTGGGCGGGAGTTCCCCTACTAAAATAGACGACCGAAATTCTAACCTCTCTACTGGAGGACCTAGAAGAACAACTTATCTTGCTGGTGCTCAGCAGGGAATGAGGAATGGAACGACCATCATAAACCATCTAACTGGTGGGTGGTTTCCTTTAAGGGGGCCAAAGTCTGGGTTCATTCCCACATTCCCTACCTAACCCACCGATGATTGTGAATCAATCCCCTTAAGCCTTGCACATTTCGGGATGTTGCCGTTTATGTGGCGGCCAACAAACAAGCATGGACTTGTTGGGCTTGGCCATTCACGAAGTAAGGCACTGATTCCTCCCAATCCGACCTTTGACACCTGAGGAACCCCGGAAGTCTAAATTACACGACCAAACACGCTCACTTCCATTTGCTTGAAAATTATGTTTGTCGTCCCTTGTTGGTTTTAAAGCGAATCTATCACTACTGGAAGTATGTTTATTCTTTCTAGGTGGCTTCAGCAAACGGAAGTCAAACTTTGGGTCCGAGCTGTGGTCCGGATTTGTTATGGCATGGCATGTTTTCGGGTGACTCTGCAAACATGGCAGCATACGCTGCGTCTTGAAAGCTAAAACAGCTTGGCTCGAATAGCAGGATTGTTCATGTTGTAGGTTGCGGCTCGATGGGCACACGGCCGTGACAGGATGCAAGTCGCGCGTTGCTTTTTGTAAGGCAGCTTTAGCCTGAAGGTACACATGGCCCCGTCGTCTTGTTTTGAGAGTACCCTGGTACTTCCTGATCTTGACGGAAGTGCTGGGCCACAGGTCTGTAGAGTAAACCTGATGGATGTCTGATGTCCGGGTTTTTTCCGAAAGCATCGCGAAGGGTTCTTCCGTGCGGAGCCCTTGGACAAGTTACACAGAGCCAAGTTGCACAGAGCCAAGTTGCACAGAGCCAAGTTACATAGAGCCAAGTTACATAGAGCCAAGTTACAAAGAGCCAAGTTACATAGAGCCAAGTTACATAGAGCCAAGTTACATAGAGCCAAGTTACATAGAGCCAAGTTACATAGAGCCAAGTTACATAGAGCCAAGTTACATAGAGCCAAGTTACATAGAGCCAAGTTACATAGAGCCAAGTTACATAGAGCCAAGTTACATAGAACCAAGTTACATAGAGCCAAGTTACGTAGAGCCAAGTTACATAGAGCCAAGTTACATAGAGCCAAGTTACATAGAGCCAAGTTACATAGAGCCAAGTTGCACAGAGCCAAATTACATAGAGCGAAGTTACATGGAGCCAAGTTACATAGAGCCAAGTTACATTACATAGAGCCAAGTTACATAGAGCCAAGTTACATAGAGCCAAGTTACATAGAGCCAAGTTACATAGAGCCAAGTTACATAGAGCCATTGGCACGGAGCCAAGTGACACAGAGCCAGGTGGCACAGAGCCAAGGTTAGCTAGAGCTTGCGTAGAGCTTCGGCGTAAGCAGCTATGTAAGTTAGTTCAGGTTTCTAAGGCGCCGGGGCGGGAGTTTGATCATCGCTCGGGATTGCGACCCTCTGCGGCGATTCGCGTGGTCGAGGTTCAAAAACTGAGGACTTTACGATTTCTGCAAGCCGCGCGCGACCCTCTGCGGAGATTCGCGTGGTCGAGGTTCAAAAACTGAGGACTTTTTACGATTTCTGCACGCCGCGCGCGACCCAGTGCGGAGATTCGCGTGGTCGAGGCTCAAAAACTGAGAACTTTTTACGAATTCTGCAAGCCGCGCGCGACCCTCTGCGGAGATTCGCGTGGTCGAGGTTCAAGAACTGAGGACTTTTCACGATTTCTGCGGTTCGCGCGCGACCGTCTGTGGAGATCGTGCGCGTCGAAGCGCTCTCGCTGTGGCGCCGTGCGAATTTGTCTTAGTCTCGGCGAACCCTCTGCGGAGATTGTGCGTGTCGAAGCGCTCTGGCTGTGGCGCCGTGCAATTTTCTTGCTTGCGAAACGGCCTTTGGAAGTTGTCTCGTGGTTTGCGCGCCTGCTTTCGCAATCCCGCGGTCGCGGGTTTGATTTCCCCCTGGTCCGCGGTCGCAGCTTTTAAGTACAACAACAATGGGGCGTGCTCCTGCAGCTCCGGCTGGAAAATCGCAACTTTTAAGTACAGACGTAGTATGCGGAGCGTGCTCCCGCAGCTCAGGCTGGAAAATCGCAGCTTTTAAGTACAAACGTAGTACGCGGAGCATGGCACACCCCCGCAGCTCCGGCTTGAAAATCGCAACTTTTAAGTACAAACGTAGTACGCGGAGCGTGCTCCTGCAGCTCCGGCTGGAAAATCGCAACTTTTTAGTACAGACGTAGTATGCGGAGCGTGCTCCCGCAGCTCAGGCTGGAAAATCGCAACTTTTAAGTACAAACGTAGTACGCGGAGCACACCCCCGCAGCTCCGGCTCGAAAATCGCAACTTTTAAGTACAAATATAGTACGCGAAGTACACTCCCACAGCTCCGGCAGCACTTGCGCAGAGTCACTTGCGCAGAGCAACTTGCGCAGAGCAACTTGCACAGAGCAATTGCACAAAGCACTTGCGCAGAGCAACTTGCGCAGACCAACTTGCACAGCACATGCGCAAAGCGCTTGCACGGAGCAACTGGCGCAGAGCAACTTGCACAGACCAACTTGCGCAGAGCACATGTGCAAAGCGCTTGCGCGGAGCAACTGGCGCAGGGCACTTGCGCAGAGCAACTTGCTCAGAGCACTTGCGCAGAGCAACTTGCTCAGAGCACTTGCGTGCAGCAGCTTGCAGAGAGCAACTTGCGTGCAGCCTGGAACACTGCAGCTTGCGCAGACCACTTTCGTGAGAAATCGCGCGGCGCAGTTCGAGAGGAAAGTAGGATGATGAGATGGAGCTCGCATGTGACCATACACACTGAGCATCGCCGCGCGCAGACACGCTCGCCGCAGCGATGTGAAAAGGTGTCTCCGCGGCTGGATGAGCACCTGTGGAAAAATGCTTTCGGGCCAATCGTCCTCTAGTTTCAGAGGGTCCTTGGGGAGACTCCAGGTACTGCCCGGGTTTTGACTCGACCAAAGTGTTGGGAGGTCTGAGCTCGAGATCCTGCGGAGCTTCCCTTTCGACCGCCCAGCACTCAGCACCCGGCTCGGGTCTCCCATCGCGCGGGGAAGCCGTCAACCCGCGGGGGTTCGACGTGGGAAGTCTCGGGCAGTCTCGGGTGTCCGGATCAAACCTAGGTCCCCCATTTGTGCCCTTTTACCGTTTCTGTTTTGGGGGGAGATTCGGTTCCCTATTGCAGCAAAAAGGGTGCCCTTGTTCTACCTCTCTACTGGAGGACCTAGCCTCTTACTGTATAGCATCTCGGTTTCCGTGTTAATTTGGAGGGGGGGTTCCACCAGTGCGTTTATGGGGGGGGGTGGTCGACCTCGTGCTTCGGCCATCCACGCGCCGACCTGGGATCCCCGTTCGCTTCATGGTGAATGGTGCCTCTTTTCCTTTCTTTCGAGGGCACGTTTTGTGAGGCTGGTTCAAAGAGAGTTTGCAACCGGCAAGCCGTTTCGAGCCATTTTGGGTTCCAAATTGGGATTGTCTACGTCAGGGCCGTGTCGGAGGACCTTTAAAGGGATCATTGAGGAAACAAATGGCTGCCTCCAAAGATGGGCAGGCATGAAACAATAGCTTGAATCATACATGGGTCCTAGGTATTGCTCGGCTGCTGAGCAAAAGCCGAGCCACTGGCTCAAAACCCGGGTACATGAAGCTTAGTATGGGAGAATCCCAGCCATAACTGGGATTCTGGCCGCCGTTTTTTTTTTCCATTCTGGGGATCGGTTTAATACCAAGTTTTGATGATGACTCATGTGGCTAACCCTCCCACTTGGGAGAGTGGTGAAAACACCTGGGCCCTGAAAAGGCTTGGAGAAATGCATAAGCTGAGTTTTCGAGTGGCAAGCCCAGGTTTCCCTTTTTCAACCCCAAGGCTATCTCCCCCTCGCGGTGGCTGTCCGACGCTCAGTTTTGCTGGGCGCCTTCACGGTTCAGCTGAAATAGCGGCGCCCCCACCACTGGGTGGTGTTCTGCGGGTTTTTCCACTTCAAGCCTGGGTGTTTGAAATTCATAGGGTGAACATTGAACATGGACCATTTCTATCCATGTATGTCTGCTCGTCACAGTGATGTTTTCTTTGAAGCAATCCTCTTGTATTGGATAGCCTGGCAGAGCTTATTTCAAGGGTGCAGTGCAAGATGCAGGTGCATCCACTTCGTGCCCAAGAGTTTTGCATAGCTGGCTCACCGCTGGTCAACTTGCTGCTCAAGGAATGAGGGGATGACCCCAAGATCAACCATCCAACTGGTTGCTTCCTTTGGGGACAGCCTGGGTTCATTCAACCAGATACCTCTCAAGCGATCGCAGGAAAAGGGGGATCGATATCGAGGCCTTCGAGGTCTAGAAGCGTTGGCGTCAAGTTGATGATTTCCGACGAAAGAAACCAATGTGGCTGTGGCTCAAAAACATGTACCGAAATGGCACCTTGGTAAATAGAACCAAAGACTAAAACCTGCGTAAGCCTAGCTCTTTGATTTTGAGCCACACCCATTTGGGTATTGGACGCACTCCATTTCGCACCTAAACCCGGGTCAATTATATGATCCCCCCAAGCAACATACCAAGACAGGTGGCTTTGGGTATGTGTCAAAAACCTTTGCGGGGCAATGATGGCTTTCCTTCGGCTCTCGGAAATCACCCCCAAGATGGGCTAGCCTCAACCCAAACGCGCAAATCCCAGTTGGTTTTAACTATACTGTCCATTTCGCACCACCTAAGAAGCCCTGGCTTCTGATTATTCCAACGCAAATACCAACAAATGGTATGGTGTTTCCCTGGTTTTTCTGAGGTGGCGGTGGTGCGGGGAAAAAAAGGCGAGGATCTCATGCTCGCAAGTCCATGAGTGGGTGACTTGGGTCGAGGTGGAACATTTGCACATGGAGCCCAAGAAGTCTGAGACGAGGGCCTTTATGGAGGAGCAAGGCAGCGGGGACAGCTGCCGAGGGGGGGCGGGCAGGTTGTTTCCTAGGTCCCCCAGCTAGGTGCCCCTTTTGCCGTTTCTTTTTTGGGGGGAGATTCGGTCCCCCACTAAAATAGGCTACAGAAAAAAGGGAACCCTTATTCTAACCTCTCTACTGGAGGACCTAGTTTCCCTTGAAGGGAAGATGGGAGTGGGAGGTGCCCTGTGGTCAGCGCTTATGCCCAGTGGGAGTGGCTTGGAGTTTGTTCGAGCCATCCGTTTCTTGGATTTTGTTGCAGCTGGAACCTCGAAACATTGGTGTCGTTGCCTTTCTTTGGGTCTGAGCTGCGGAATGTGGGGATGTCTCGCCGTGTCTGGGATGCGTTTCTGGGACGAATGGGTGCCTGTGACAGGAAAGTTGCTGCCGGTGGGAGCAGGGGCAGTCAAGGATGTGCAGCCGGCCGAGCCGCTGTTTGGAAGCCGGTAGTGGTGGATGTAAGCTAGGTTTCCCAGTAGAGCCCTTCGGGGGAGGGTTCCCCTACTAAAATAGACTACAGGAAAAAGGGTATCCTTATTCTAATCTCTCTACTGGAGGACCTAGATAAGTGAAAGCGACAAAACGTGGAGAGGTTTGGAGGTTTGCGGCAGAGTTCCAGCTCATGTTGCAGGGAGCTATGATCAACACCCTTTAGTGCGAATTATTTGGTAATGGATCTTTGGTTGGATTTCAAAGTGATTCACTTTTTGCAGAGGGGTCGTTGCAGCGACCAAGCATGGGTGGTTGAAGGCGGGGGAGTCCGACCAGGGGTAGATCCCTGGGCGACCAAGTTTTGCCTCAGTTCAGTTCAGCCGCCAGGATACTTTCTCGACGTGGAGGTGCCTTGGGCTGCACAAGCATGGGACATACTGTGGATGGACGAAATCCTGCACCACCTATGAATCTCTGGAAGGATGAATCCCTTGTAAGTACCAACCAACAATAGCTTCCCATGGTTTCAAAGTGGTGTAGTATTTCGTCCATCCATGCATTCCCACATGGCATGGGGCTTCACGAACCTAAGCAACAAAACGGCATGGCTGAGTGCCCATTGGCACTTGTGCCAGTTCGGCCTCACGTGCCTACCAAAAGCGTCGCTGGAGTGAATGGGTCGAACCGAAAATCAACGCCCCAATCTTAATCAAGGAAGCTGCAATTAGTTGAGAGAATAGTCGAGTTGAGGGCATTACAGTCCAGTTGGTAGGCGAGGGCTGACCGGCTCTTTCTTCTCTCGCTCCCACACACACTGCTTTTATTTCAAGGTAACTTGAACCAACACACATCTCACTTGTTAGCTTTTGCTACAGACTGGGACTGTCATTCATGTTTGAATCTTCCATTTGGTTAAGAATATTTCTTGTTTTCCCCTGTTGGTTTTAAAGGGAGTCTATCACCACTGGACATATTTTCTCATTTTTTCCAGGGGGCTTGTCAGCAAATGGAGAGAATGGACACCGCAAGGCAAGTATCCATGTCGGTGGTCGCCTTTTGGAGGCTGAAGCCCAAAGAACACCACGGCGTGGTTCTAGGGAGTGATTCCTTGTCCATTCTTTTCAACCATCGTTCTTTTCAAAGACCGGATCTGTTTGCAACATGGGTGTTTCATGGTTTCCTGAAAAGAAGGATCCCTGGAAAGAAGGGGGAAGGTAACCCTAGAGTGATATGCGTGGTGCAGGGTCCCACATTCCCTTCGGATTGCATAACCTGAAAGGATGCAAATCAGGGAAACCCATACGCCCCGCCTGAGGCTTATGGGTATTTGGGTGTGTTTTTGTCTGGTGTCCCTTTTTGGGCTGTTTTCGAGGGAAACCTAAGCAAAACTCTTCTGCCGGGTTCCCCTATTTTTGACACGCGCCCGTCGGAGGGTCTGCGATTCAGAAATCTTTGAGCCACGTGTTCCATCTTGCCGTGGTTTTGCCGCAGGCATCTCACGATGACCTGTTTCTGCTGAGGGACGTTCACAAGTACTCCCCTGTGGATTGACATGGAGCCCAAAAAGCAATCCATGTTTAGAGGCGTAGGGTGCTTTTAGCGTCTGTTTCGGTGTTTCTGTTGTTGTTCAGAGCGATCTTTGTGTTTTGGAGTGCTTTTGAGATTAAAATGGACCCCCAAAAAGAATCGGAGTCTCTGGATCCCCTGTTCTGACTCAGGGGAGTGCCGGCTCAAAGCAATCCGTGCTGCCCCAAAAACGGGTTGTTCCAGCCAAGGCGAATCCGCGGAATCCGCAAACAAACAAGCGGATTGCAAGTGCACACGGGTGCCGAAGGCTTGTCCCATCGGCTCATTAGCCAAGGTGACGCAGGATCTACATATGGGTGTGTCTTTTGTTGATACTTCCGGTACCCCTTGTTGGGTGGTTTCAAAGAGCAACCAAAGGGAGGGCCGGGGGGGGTCCCCTAACATTGCCTTGTGGACTAGGAAGCCCTGCTTCACCGCATGACCGCTCAGTCGGGAGCAGTGAAAACACACGGCCACCAAGCCCGCCAACGTGCGGTGGCCTCAGGGGGTGGTCTTTTTGGAGGCTAGCCTGTTTGGATCTTGGGTTGATTCAATCGCCGAAAGGGACACCAACTGGAGATCGTCGCCGTTTGGAGGGTTCCTCTTCATTTGGATCGAAGCCATCCAGGGAGCCTTGTCGGTTCCGGCTGAAAGGGGCAGCTGCCCATTGTACATATCCCGACCGATTTGCGCGTCACCAGAAGGAAGCGGATCTGAGCCGACCGCAGTCCACCGCGTGGGCCCCCGGGGCCACTTTGGGCCCCTTTGTCTTTGAGGTTGAGCTCACGCCCTGAGTCTGAGTTCAACTGGAGGTTTGAGGTTTGGAGGATTTGAGTGCTGTGCGAAATGGTTGGGTACTTTGGTGGCCAATCCATTCGATCGGAAGTGAATGAATGATACATCCACATGTTTGTATGTATATATATATATATACGTACACACACACACACATATATATATATATATACATACACTTTTTGTGGCATGCCGAAACATAAAGGCCAGCTTGGTTGGAAAAGAGGGGTGCCAAAATGCAAAAAGTGGAGCCACTTCATACTATTTTCATCTTGTTTGCTGCTTCCCAGACCAGGCGACGGGACCCTTGCTTCTTGTCAAGGAGCCTCTTGAAGGGTTCATGGGGGCCCTGCTTTTTCACCCCCAAGGTTTTTGTGCGCCGAGAATCCAGAAAGATGAAATGGAGGACCAAACACGGGCTTCACAGGGATCCCAACAAACTAAAGCCAGGTTCTCTTCAAGAGTTCGCTAGCAAGCCTCCAAGGTGGAGCGAGCCGGTGGAACCACCCTCCCCCGGTTGCCCAGTGGGTTCCTCCCTTTTTTCAACTTTTTTTTGGGAAGGGTTCCCTTTAAAGTCAACCAACCAAGAAAGGACGCCCTTCTTTTTCCATAAGAATCCGCTGGGCATCTGAGCACAGGCTCACCTAAAGCACCGGGCGGTAGTGTCGAGGACAAGCGTCGGCAACCCGGCAGGACATACCTCAGCAAGTGCAAGGAGGACTTGGACCGCGCCCTAAGATAGAGGCCGGAAGCCTTGGTGTTCTGGAGCCTAGCCGAGCGCGACGTGAAAGGCAACCTTTCAGCCCCCAACTGCTAGACATTTCGACAAACATTCTATCTATTATAGGTGAAATTATGTTGTCATTTTGAATTACAGACCTGTTGCGTTACAATGGTGATAGTCGTAGGTTTATTTGATCGAAAAGGCTAGGATGTGTTTAATACGCGAAATTAGTAGGAGAAAGCACAACCGCTGTTTTGAATAGTTTACCTATGTCAAAAGTTGGATGGAACGTTTGAGTTGGAGGAAACAGATTTCACTCGTTGCAATTTCCCTGCCCGAATCATTTACCGGTGCCATAGGCCAGGGCACCTACTGCATCCCTACAGGTTTGTAGATCGGGGCCACCAGAGTTAGGCAAGTAGCATACCGAAGGATCGAAATGCAACAAGTGTCTTGTAAAAGGTCCAAGCTTGGAAATGCACGGGTTTCACTGGTTGCAGTTTATTTTTTGGAATCACTGCCATCAATCATGTTCTGCTCCAAACACCTACCAAACAGATGGCAAGAACAAAACTGGAGGGAACCCAGAAGGGATCTCGGTGGATGCATTTCATGTGCAGGTTGCGTCGGCTCGACCTCGCTTCATGTGCAGGCCGGCCTCGGCTTGTTTCACCGAAAGCTGGACGGACTGAGCGCTCAAAGACTGAGCCCAGCATGCGTAGCTTGCGGAGGGCTTTCGAAAGCGAAGGCATTGGTATACTTTGTTGCATTTTGCTTGGATGTCAGGATTGCAACTTTTTGTCAACTAATGGTTTTCCAATTCAACCACAAAAAGTTAAACTTTTAGCAGTGGAGCAGAAAGCAACCGAGTTAGTATAGTTGCCCTCCACACTGTTCAGCAGTCAGCAAGGCTTGGGGATACCCCATTAATGACACTCACCAGCAGGCACCTCAACGCATGATCATTCAAGGGCCTCCCCAACGTTTGGAATGGTAAGTAATGATTGTGCTTATCCAGCTGTGAGGTCGTCGCAACATCTGCTGACTGCTGCCCTCTATCGGAATCGATGGGGCTAGAGCGGTCATGCATCAGAGAAGTTACGCTCTTTGAGAGAAAACAGGGGTGTTGGCGTTTTGTGCTGGCTCTTTGTTGCACTGTTGTTTTGGCTCACGACTGCTGTATGTCTTCTGTCTTCAGCTGTTCACAATGCAAAAGTGCTTCTTCGGATTATGACGGCCTGGTGAGACAAGGTGAGACATACCATCACAGAGCCAGTGCCGGCACTCAAGAGCTTGCCTGAGAGGAAATACATGGAGGCAAGAGCTCAAAACAGCTGAGATGACAACCCGAGAAAGATGGCAGAACGTGATTAGTGACCCCCCCTGCTTAAAGACACCCGAGTTTCCCAGCCCACTGCCAGCCGACCATGGAACAAGTCCCAGCGGAAAAAAAACAAACAAAGGCCTGGGTTTGCGCCACTGGGTTTTTGACCAAGTTCTTGGGACAAACAGGGGCCCCTTGAGACTTGGGATCGATCATCCATCCTGCTTTCGCTGCGATCCTGCGCGCTCGCCGATGGGAAAGGCCGGATGCCCCCGAATCCGCCAAAGCGGGGTTTGGGGTTTGCACGAGCAAATGAGCAGAGATGATTTTTGATAAACCACGAAAAAGATGGCGAAGGAGCAAATGGTTGAGGAAATCCGGGCAGATGCCTGGGCGGTATCCCACTGGTGATCCTTCAAGCTGGGCTTCTCACGCCAGAGGCCCTGTGTTGGAATCAAGGTGACGCATCAGTCAGTTCCCAGCTTCGGTTGAACAGGTGGCCATGGAACGATTGGGCCATTGCGCGGTGATCCAAAAACCCGCATGAATGAGAGACAAGGCGTCAGATGTTGATTTCCAAAGCGAATCGACCGGATCTAACCTATTGGTCCCCTTCTAGTCACAGTCCCAAAAGGTTTACCGTTAGTTCTGGGTCCCTTAAGGAGCAACTGGGAATGTGCACCCCTTACACGCCGAAGGGTTGGCAGTTTGTGCTGGACATTCCCGGGCTGACGATTGCATGGTCGTGGGAAATCCCAGGGCCACTTGTTAATTTCCCTTGAACACCTAGGTGGATTCCTGCCCGTTATGGTACTGATTTTAGTTGCTAGGGTTCTAGTTGACACTCAACCACCCAGAAGACCAACCGAAAGTGGTCCCTGTTGGAAAAGTCAGGTACTTCTATAGCAAGGTTTGGGTCAAAAATCGGAGAATGATGCTTACCTGTGGCAGAAATCTAAAGGTTGCCCCATACTAATGGAATTTGCATTCGTTGGGCATGGTGTTTTATCTTACTATTCACAAGGTTTCGCGTGTCCCAACTGATGTGTTTGTGGATTTTGTCCATCTACAGGTTTGATCAAGACGTGAGTCCATTAACTCAATTCAGCGACCTCCTTAGATTCTTTACCAAGGGCCCCGAAGTTTTTCCAGAGAAGGGCCCTTCCCTCACAAAGTAATGTTGACCCAACAAATCAATCCTAGGGCACCCACAAAACTGATGAATCCCCACAAAAAGCGAACCCGGTGTAAAATTCCGGGCCATTACCCAACCTCCATTTGCTTAAGAATATGTTTGTTTTTGATTATTTTCTCTTGTTGGTCTTAAAAAGGAATTCATCACTACTGGACATATTTTCATTTTTCCTGTGGCCTTAACCAAATGGGAGCCAAACAAGGAGTGAGTTGATGCCCTCGAAACATCCGGCCGGAGGTGAAAAAGGCGCACTTGAAGAACAAGCGCCTAGGCAGCAGACGAACAGCTGAGTCTCCGACCCTTCGACACTCTTCCAACGCGAATCGCCCCCCTTCTCACTTTTGGGGTTAGCTGCAACCCCCTGGAAATTGCTAAGGGCATCCCCTCTTCTTAACCTTGTACGATGTTTACAAAACAAAAAATGACACATTGTTTTTAAACCTTGCAAGTCGCTCTTTTAACCTTGGACCTTGGGGATACTTCCAATTTGCTTTAACAAACAAAGAGCTTTGCCAGGTTAAACAAAAGCCGGCAGAAAAACGGCACCCAAAAAGGAGGTTCCTCTAAAGAGTGCTATATAGCTTTCGGTTCTCCATGATACTCTGCACGAAAGGAACTTCCACAGCCTTTAACGGGACACCAAACCAAAAACAAACAACGTTTTTGTAGGGTGTCCGTGCGTTTTTTGGCCACATGCCCATATTATAGCCATTGGTTTGCCAAGACGTCCAAAACTCAGCTTTCCCTTTGGTTTCGATTGGTTTGGACCTTTTGGCAAAGTTGCCGTCAGGACCCAGGGGTTCACCAACTGGTTCGTTCAGCTTCCCTGTAATTGGTGGCTTGAATTGGTGATTCGGTGGTTACTGTAAACGGTGGTTTCCCCGTTAATTACCCTCTACCCATACCCTCGCTCCAACAACATGGCACCTGACAGAGGGTCCCTTGAAGATAAAATTGATGGTTTGGGCACCCTCCCACAAATGCTGTGTTAGTTGGAGGAAGGGTAACTTCCATCTGCTTAAGAGTATCTTTCATTTCCCCTTGTTGATTTTCTCATTTTGTCCAGGGGGCTTTGCAGTAAACGGAAGGGTAGGGGTTGCCTGAAAGACGCCTTGCACCAACAAAGGGCAGACGCCTTAGCCCTCCACTCCACGAGTCACACGAGTCGAATCGGCGTGGTCGGCTCGGTGTTGCAAGGAAGGCCAAAGCCAAAGCCAAGGCGTTGGATTAGACCAATGGGAAAGAGGGCCGATGGGGAGGGCCTTTTGTCAGGTATTCTTGATGGGGATTGCCCGGGTTCAACGACTCATGTGGGGTTTTCACTGGGCGAAGCCCCAAGCAGTGGGTGTTTTGGTGGTGCCCCTGCCTTGCCAATTCGCGAGTTGGGGCCCGGTGGTTCGGAGGTTGAAGGGGGTTGCAACCACTTGCCCACAAGAACCAAGGCTTCAAATCCCCAGGCCGCCATCCAAACCACCCGCGCGCAAGCGCGCGCGCAGGCGAAAGGAAATGAGGAAGACATGGCGGTGGAGAGGAAAGAGTCCAGGCATGACATGAAGATGCGCCACGGCGAAAGATGCAAGATGTGTTGCGGGAGGGCCAGGGATGAGGAAGGAAGCCTTGGTTAGGGGTCCCCATCAAACTGTGTTGCCCAGTGGATTTCACCTTTCTTCCCCTTTTTTTTTGTGGGGGGGGGGAAGGGTTCCTGTTTAAACTCAACCAACCAAAAAAGGATGCCCTTTTTCCCATGGCCACTGGGCATCTGAGCACATCAAAACCACTTTATTCGAACTTTCGCAACTTCATACACCCTCCCGCCTTTCCCTCTTCCCCGGTTTTCTGTATCCCTTCTGAGGTCGTTTGTCCAAATCGGGAGTCCTTTTGTTTGACCCGTTCTGAGTATGTGTTGATTTCTCACTGTTGGTTGTTTGAGAGCATCAAACACGGACATGGGTTTGTCCCAAAATAGGGGATTGCTCAAGAATGTAACGCTTTCCTTGGTTCCCTTTAAACCAGGCCCCTCAGAAGGGCATCGAGCCTCGGGAAAAAGACACCCCAAATATAAACGGATATTCAATTGGGTTAACTTAGGTGTAGCCGACAGCTGGATTCGATTTGACAAATCTAGGGCCATGCCCCTTCTGAATTGCGTTGCTCCTAGCGTGGATTTTCACACACACACACACACAGTGGTGTGTGCCATTGTTTGAGGATACCCCTTTTGCGTGGTGTTTTTAAAGGGAAACCAAAAGGAGCACCCGCACATTTTGGGGGCCCGCATTTTGAGGCTCCTAAGAAAGACAGCCACAGTTGCGCGTTTCTTGTAACAGTACAGTGGCCCAAAAATAGGAATCGGCCTAAAATGGAAGCCTGGATGGAAACAAATACTAAAAAACCGGTTGCCATTTATTTCTCGATCCGAACTGGGCTGAGTAAAGTAGGGACTGCTTTCTTCAGGTGAGCTTCCTTTTGAACCATGCAGGGTTCCCGACTGAGCCTGTTCAAGTTGCTCCTTGGCCGTCAGATACAGCCCGCCAAGAGAGAGATGCATAGGGCTTCGCCCCGCCAGCTTCAGGCTGGTTGGCTGCACCCACCCACCCCACCCCACCCCACCCCACCCCACCCCACCCCACCCCACCCCACCCCACCCCACCAAACCCCACCCCACCAAACCCCACCCCACCAAACCCCACCCCACCCCACCCCACCCCACCCCACCCCACCCCACCCCACCCCACCCCACCCCACCCCACCCCACCCCACCCCACCCCACCCCACCCCCCACCCCACCCCACCCCACCCCACCCCACCCCACCCCACCCCACCCCACCCCACCCCACCCCACCCCACCCCACCCCACCCCACCCCACCCCACCCCACCCCACCCCACCCCACCCCACCCCACCCCACCCCACCCCACCCCACCCCACCCCACCCCACCCCACCCCACCCCACCCCACCCCACCCCACCCCACCCCACCCCACCCCACCCCACCCCACCCCACCCCACCCCACCCCACCCCACCCCACCCCACCCCACCCCACCCCACCCCACCCACCACCCACCCCTCAGCCCCACAAAATCCCGCGCAAAATCCCAAAACCATGGTGTGTGCGATGTTGTGCACCTCCGCGTGAACCCCCTATGTCCGCTGGAAGATACTCCCAGACGGATGGAAGGTTGACAATGAATGCACCCTACTGTATATGGACAAGTCCCTACCCCAGTTGGCATGAAGAGAAGCCTATGAATACAGGTGTCCGGCGCAGCTTTGTCTCATCCACACTACAATCCAAAGCCGTCGTTCATCGTCGTTCCATTTTCCGGGGCCGGCCGCTCGCCATGCCGAGGCGGCACACAGCGGAGCGCAAAGCTCTGCAGGCAGGGCCATGGGCGCGGCAAATGCTGGTTGCAGTTGTTCTCTTCCGACATGGGTTTGTTTGTTCTAGGGGATCCCCAAAAGTTGTGGTTTGCCTTCTGGCTGCCTTTAAACACAGACGGGGTACCCTCAAAAAAGACACGCCCACATGACTATGGATCCCCAAAAGTGGTGGTTTGCCTTCTGGCTTCCTCTACAACAGACGGGGTATGTTGTTGTTTGTTTGTGTTTTTGTCATTTTTTGTGTGTGTGTGTGGAAGCAGCGAACTCAAGTGGTGGACACAAATCGGGACCCACATTTTGATGCCAATCATTTCAGGCCCCCCATTGACACTACGCGCCCACATGTTTGTTTCTTCGCGGCCATAGCAACATCCCAACCTCCAGCTGGATGTGGCTGCCTTGGACTGGGATCTTGGAGAAAAACCGGCATGCTTGCCCGCCTGTTTGGCAAAGGGCCTACTCCTTGTTGGCCCAGCAAGCACTCCACTCCGCCCTGGCCCAGTTCACCCCAAGCCCCAGTTCTCAGCCCCAGTCTCAACCCCAGTCCAGCCCCCAAAAAATATAGTCTTGGGGGTTCTCTCACTATCATGTCTCTCCTATAGATCCAGAGTGTTTATGATGGAGAGAAATGGTGAGAGAAGAGAACTGTGTTTCCAAGCCTATTCATTATACCGTACCTCAGATCTTAGGCTTGGTCAAGAGGCAGGAAAAGATATGAATGATAAATAGAGAAAAGAGGACTGGAAAGAAGAAAGTAAAGGAAGGGCCGTCTCTCTTGCAGGCGCGTGTGGCAGACCTGAAGCGCCAGCGCAAGAAGCTGCCGAAGTCCAAGAAGAAGGATGAGAAGAAGGCGGTCAGAAGCCACATGGCCATGGTTCAAAACCGTTTTGTGATCCCATTTTGAGATAGGTGCACCGACCCATTTTAGTCGAGATTTTAGTGGTTGGATTGCGATGTTCACGGTACGATTTGGGTTTCGACCCATGTGCCACATGGGGTTGGTTCCTTTCAGCGGAAGTCCAAGCCATATTCACCGAAGCCAATCGCCAAAACGCCCTGGTTTTCTGGGGGGGTTGACTGGATTTTGTCCACTGTTGGTGGCCCTAAAGGTTATGAACGAACCTTTTGTTTCAACCAGACAGGTAACAGGCAGCTGGGCGTGGTACCCCCAGCCATGTGTCAAAATAGGGATGAAACAATCTAAGCCAGTGAAACCTACAGCATTTCTACTCAAACTGTCCGATCAAAAGGACAACCAGGCATGTTTCCCCAAGCAAGCATTCGACAATTCAGTCGTCGCTGCAGCTCGTCCTCCATGTCCGGAACAACTGGCCAAGATGGGGTGATTTTTGTGATGGTACCCTTTTGGGTTGTAAAGGGAAACCAAACGGAAGGTTATAAAATGTGTCGGCTCTCCTTATATATATATATATATATGGGGGTCTCAAAATAGGGGAATCAATTCCAACATGGATTTTGAGTTTCCTTTTGGGGCAAATTGGTTCAAAAGGAAGACCGAAGGGACGCCATTCGGTTTCTGGTCCATTCTATGCCCCATGTACCAGGGAACCCCATCCATTTTCCCAAAAGAACAGCTATAGAAACAAGCATTCTGGACCGCGCCTCATATATGGTTCATAAGACATGTGCCGTTGGATGAAGTACTCGGCGCCAGGCGCTGAGTGAGGAGATCAAGGTGATGACCAGCCCCGAGCCCAGCAGTCACTTCTCTTTGGCGGCACAGAAAGGGCCCAGGAACGAACCCGTGATTTATTAATAGAGTGTCCTACTGACTTCCTGAGTTCCGCTGCGGACGATAAGCGTTTTTTGGGAAGACCGAGTTACTGTGGTGGTAAGCTCAGTTGGTCAAAGCCGACCTTTTGACCTTTTGGTTTCCCCTTTTGGTCTATTTTTAGCAGAGGTCCCAAAAGGTTAACCTTTTACTTCCAGGTTTTTTGGGCAAGTGAGTAAACGAACAGTTTGGATTTTGTTGACCAATCCACTCAGAAAGTGAGTGGTTGAAACTCTTCCAAGTTTGGCGCAACACATCGTTTGCAGTTCGACCGTCGCTCCGCAAATGAAGGGCAGCCTACACCCCGACGTGGAATCCCCACCAGAGGGTAGAGGAACGTGGGAGTGGATTTCCAGGACCAGGACACCCAACCCAGGCTGATGTCAATGAGGTCCCCCCAGCTTTTCCCAAGAAACAGCCGTTGCACGGGGCTGGCAAGAACGGCAAAGCCTTTTGTCAAGCGTTTGGCTGAGTGAGGAGAAGGTTGATTCAGTTCGTCTGAAACGAACTCCAAGTTGGGACCTAGCCGGACCTTTCACGACCGATTCAGATTTATCGGGGATGCAACAGTCCGAACCATTGCTTGAATTGGTTTCTACCAAGCTTACTTGTGTGGAGCATTGCAACGTCATCTTTGTTGCACCATTTGCACCCAAAAAAGTGGTTCCATTTGGAGAGAGACTGGAATGGAAGCAGAGATGAACAATTTCAGGGGGGGTGATTTTGGAGCACCATTAGTTGTACGCAAATCGTCTTGTGTTTCAAGCTGGTTGTTGGTTGGCATTTTCGGCTTTGGACTCCTTGATGAAGCTAGGAAAAAGGGGCCTGGAGATGTGACAGGGTTTCATGATGTCATGATGTCTGGTGGCCAGACTACATTCTCTGCGCTCACGAGGATTGCTGCAGACTTCAGGCAGCAGCCCCCATTCCAAGTTCGTGCGACATGGCAGGAGCATTCAGGAATTGACACGGAAACTTTGACACAGCAAACAAATCAACGCTTTGCCCAGGAGCCATGGCCGTTGCCCATGGTGGGACGTCATCACTTGCGCTTGGAGCCGTGGCCGTCACCACTTTGCTGGTTTTGCGAGCTCTCCGGCGGCGGCTGTCCCCTGTGATCACGTCCAAGCTCGCATGCCGATGTGGAAAGGTTCAGGGTGAGATCTCCGCGATTCGGCAGGACTCCATGCGCATTCACTGCTACTGCGGAGATTGTCGGCAGTATGCCAGATTCATTGCCAACCTGGGCAAGCAGGAGGAGAAGACCATTGGAGAACACGGGGACAATCGCGTGGTGCAAGTCTGCAAGAGCGCGCTAAAGATCACAAAGGGGCAAGAGCTCATCAAGCTGGCCAGGAAGGCTCCGAAACCTGAGAAAAGCGGCCAGATTTACATGCATCGGTACCATGGTTGCTGGGAAACATGTTGCAGTTTTGCTTATTGTGGCTTAGCAGGAAAATCCCCACTGAACGTGGGAAATCCCCATTTCACAAATTAATTGTTTTTTTGGTTGATGTTTTTTGACTTATTGTGATTTAGTGGTTGAAATCCCCACTGAACTGCTACAAAGCAAACTTGTTGCTCCTGTTCCAACATCAACCCAGGTACTTCGCCAGTTGTTGCTGTGTGCCTCTCTACAACACGGTGGACTTTTTGGGCTTCGTCGGCGTCTTCACGGACTTCCTGGACGAGGGCTGCGCAGCCTTCGCGGGCCCCGTGCGCATGTTCCCGAAGGAGGCCTTGAAGACAAGGCGCGACCCAGAAGCCGAAGGAGTCTTAGGGGTTCCCACTTTGTGAATATGTCTTTGGTGCATTTTGCAAAGTTGGGCCACTAGATCCCCACATAGCCAACCTTCCATTTGCCTAACTTTGGGCCATTGGGGCATAATGTTAACCCCGGATAAATCAACCCCTGGTTGATTTTGATTGGGGGGTATCCCCTTTGAGTGGGGATGCAGACCACTTTTGGATGGAACACCCCCCCTAATAATGGTAGGACTTCAACTGTTTTGCCAACTAATGGGTTTTCCTAATTTATTAAACCGCTAAAAGTGAAACTTTGAGCAGGGCTTCGCAGAAAGCAACCGAGACAAGGCCCGACCCAGAAGACGAAGCCTTTGCGCCGGACTTCTTGTGGAAGTTGGTGCGTTATCACTGGTGGCGCAAGTCTGGACCCTTTGATTACAACCAGGAGCCGGTCTATTGGGCAAGTGCCGGCGCAAAGAAGAGCGATTGAACCAGGGTTGAAGCACCATGTTGGGCCGAGCTGCGGTTGCATCTTCACAAAGGGAATGTCGGTTTCACACAGTGAAGTCTTCGCTACGGGCTGACGGCGCGCTGGGAAAAGGCGCGTGCCTGTCCAAGGTGATGACGCAGGCAAAGGGTTGGGAGGTGATGTGGGTTGCGCTTGGGGTCGGGGCCACGCAGTCATGCATGCGTGCGCTGCTGCACTCGGCAACTTCTATTCGGAGGAAGTGTGGCGGTCACTCTATCCTTGCCTGTAATGTTGACCCCGGATTCATAAACCCCTGGTTGATTTTTTTTCGGGGGTGCCCCTGTTTCAGTGGAGAGTCATCACTGGAGGTGAGCACCCCCTATTAATATTCCGGCTTAATTTCATCCGGGGTCAACATTAGACTATCTTTCACGTGCGTTGTTGTTGTTTTTTTTTGGCAGGCGCAAGTGGACTTGTTAAATGGCGAGACCTGCTCGAATTTAGGCGCAGCTCGCAAGGCCGAACGGGCGGCGTTTTAATTTGCCATTGGGGTGACTTGGGGAGGGACTTCACCCGCTTGTTCATGAGGACCAGTCAAGGATATCAATTCCTATCACCACAAAAAGAGGAAGAAAAAAACGCTCCCCCCAAGAAAGACTCAGCTGGTGATGGAGCGGGGTAGCGTCCAGAAAAAGATAGAGCCGGGCAATGCCATTCCTTTCTTCCTACCTCCCCATTCCTTTCCCCAACTATTAGCCGCGAAGGGAATGGAGGCATAAAGCCTGAAATCATGTCAAGTCACTCTCTCTCTCTCTACAATTTCCCAGTTTATTATTATGTTTATCTCTTCACCTGTTCAATGGTGTCTAAGTTCTCGGAGATGTAGGTGAGAGCGGGTTAAGGAAGCGATGGGAAGGAAGTCTCATTGCTTCGCTTTTTCAGTTTCTTCCTACATCTATCACTATCACTTCTTGGCGGCTCTTCAGGAGAGTACTGGCAACCCAGAAGGGGGGAAACGGGTTGGGGAAGAGATGGCCCAGTACTTCATATCTTTCCCCAGAACCGTCCCTGGCATTTGTTTGCCTGGGGAATGGTGAAAGGAACGGGTAAACAAGGCAATTAGAGAGAAAGAGATGAACGCCATTCTGTTCCTCTCACACACACTTGTTTAGCCAGGATGTCTTTGTGAGAGAGGAGATAGAGATGCCATAAGATTAGTGGGGATTGCCAGCCCCACTAGCGGGGGATCTGAAAACGAACGGCCCAGTTGGAGCCCGGTTCGCAGCTAACTGAGGCGAGCTACAAAAGCGGCAGGCTGCAGAGCGTGAGCAAGCCCAGGCTGGATGGGTGGCACCTCACAGTCTTTGTCCTCAGTTGCCCACAGCGAATCGACCTTTTTAATCTTTTGGTTTTTCATTTTTTCCAGTTGTGGTCCATTTTTAGTCATGGCCCCGCAGAGGTGAACCTGTGATTTCTGAGTCCGAACTGGGCAACTGAGTTGGTGGTTTGGAAGATCACGCGTTGGCCCTTGAGGTGCTCGTTAGAGCCACGGCGCCAGGGAACCCCCGGGGGAGGTTGGTCCGTAAGACCTGTTTTGCGGTGGTGTTGATAGGAAACCAAAAAGAAAACCACAATTTGTTGGGCTTGTGGTTCTAAGATACCCTGTGCAGAGAAGGACGGGTGTATGTTAACTCAGCGAACTTTTCATGCTTCAGAGATCTTTTCACCGCATCAAGCCAGGAAGCCGCTGTCCAGCCCACCCGAGCGCACAACTCGCTTCCGGCCGGGGCTTCCAGCCCCACCAAACCGGTTGGCCAGTCACGTTCAGGAAATGGAAAGAGTACCACCCAACCACCTCACGAGGCTAGGAAACGTTGCAATAAGTATCCCGCCAAAAAAAAACATGAAGCGAAGGGACCTCTGATTCCGCTTCGTTGAGCATAGTTTGCCATCCATGCCTTTCCGTTGAATGAAATGTACGTTCCCGAAGAAGGCAACTCGGCGGGCAAACATGCTGGGGGCTTGTGGCAAGTGACTGAGCTGCTACATTTGAACGTGCCCAGTGTGGGGGTCACCAACAGTCTTGTACTGCTGACTGGTTTTGTCTATGCGAGGCCCCTCTAAGGCTCTGCAGTCAGTTAACGCGGTTCGTGTTGTGGGATCTTGGAGAACTTGCTTTCACCAACCTTGATTATAGTTGAACGAAAAATTAGTGTGCGAGGATACGATTGAAACAGGAGGTGTGAGCATTTGATGGGGGGTTCAACATGGTTTCTGGGGATGTGAGGGGTGGAGTGGGACTTGCAGATCTTGTGACTGGTGTTCAAACTAACTGTAAAAGCAAATTCTCCAAGCGCAATGTGGCTGAATTTTGCACAAGTGCTGCAATTGACCCCTCTTGTCAGCTCTTGTCAGTCAACTTGGTTTTGTATGGAGGGCCAGTCGGCGGAGTCGTGCCGATCGCAGGATGCAGGGCGTGACGACTCTGAGGAGATATCCAATGAGGAATTTGAAGACGACTTCTCGGATTAAAAAGGAGTCTGCCGAAACATTATGCATGCCTTGTCTATTTGTGTGATAATACCGTTTTTGTTGGACAATATATCGTTGAACACTCTATATCAATTATTGCGAATCTATATCCATTCTTGCGAATGGATATATTATAATTAGTGTGTTTTTTGTATATATTATGTTTTTGTTATTATTTTTTTCGGAATTCTTTTTTTTGTTTTTCCGGAAGTCATTTGTATTTGCTTTGAGGATAGGATTTTGACCCTTGTAGATAGATTTATGTTAATTTGATGGGAAATGAAATACCCGAATTTGCAAAAGGCTTTTAATTACAATTAATAGGTATATTGGGGCTTTATGGTCTTCGATATATTGTTCACGGATACAATAATATATTAATCGAATAAATATTTCAAAAGAAATTAAACTTTATAATTAATTAATAAGGATATAATATTTATAGAAATTTATAAAACGTATAAATTGCCGAATAATTTTATTAATGATTATAATTAGTTGATTATTTTGCTATATGATTAATAAATTATATTTGGATTATATTTATTTACTAGCGGGTTTTATAAGTTAAATCGTCGAATTTATGTTTAAGAAACACTAGATTATAATATCTATAATTCGATAATTAGAATAATAATAATTCGAATAAATATATATATATATATAAATATTATTGTTCGAATATATTATATATTTAAAACAATATATTTATATAATACATATATATATATTGATTTTATATTTTTAAAATATTTATAATTAGAATTGGTTGGTATTATTTAATATATTTAAATTATTATTATTATTAATAAGTTGGTTAATTTATTTTATATTCGAATTTTAATTTATATTTATATATATATATATTATTATGTTTTTTAGATATTTTATTTTTTAGAAAAATATTTACTCTATAAAATGAAATTATGAAACTTGCTCGTCGCACTTGCACGCGTTTTTCCGGACCGCTTTTCCGAAAAATCTTGGATATTTCCGATAATTGGTCCGGACGGTTTACCCAAATCTGTCCGGGCTACCCCGGCCATAATCCGGAAGATGTAATGTTTTTCATTTTTTGTAGGGACTAATTTCCCGAAATATTCCAAAAAAGTCAGAAAATATTATCATCTAAAAATCCGGAATATTTCGGACACATGATCTGGAGCGCAATTATTAAAATATCCGGGATATTTTGGAAAGATGGTCCGGGCTTTGAACGAAACCGTTATGTCTTGCAAATAAAGAGTCCGGGCTAAAGAGTCGATCTGCCTGTTCGTAACCATTTTGGCTGAAATGTTACGCCCATCTTCCGAGAGTTCGGCGATGCGAGAAGTTATGAGCCGCGGCCGATTGTTGCGAGTAGTGGTGTTTTCCAAATGTTTTGGACGAACTTAATGGATTTGCTTGCACCTAGGATGTTTTCTGGTCGATCGCATTTTCGCTTACGCTTGCAATAATTACGTATATGGATGGTTTTGAGGATAATAGCCTGCGGATCCGTTCTCACCTTGCTTAGGCGATCGGCTTTTACTGACTTTTTGGCATGATCTTATTGTAATTAGCCCGGCCTTTAAGTTCGCGGCTTATATTTGGAGAACGGTATATTTTTCGTATATATTTTTTTAATATATATGATATTATTAATTTTGTTGGTGCTTGAATTTCAAAAAATGTCTTGCCGGCACGGACTCTACAAAATTTGTTCTGTTTTTGGCACACCTACCACGGCTTGGACCTTGGCCCTTGAGAGCTCGGTTCATGCGATGCTTTGGGTAGAATCTATGACATTTCGTAAGATTGTGTCTTTGTGGACGTTTTGGTCTTGGTTTATGGATTATTTTAAATGGATTGGAATATATTAGAATTATTTTTCATGATTATGTTTTGTTTTTGATGCCCATTTTAATTTTTCCTTATCGTCTTTTACTGACTCTTTGGCATGACTTTATCGCGACTAGTCCGGCCCTTAATGCATCTCGCGATTTGTATTTGGAGAATGGCATGTTTTTTTTTTTTCGCATGCAAAGAGTATATTTATGAAATTTCAAATATTTCGGGAAATGGTATCGTCGAAATATCCGGAATATTTCGGAAAAATGGTCTGGAGTGCAATTATCGAAATATCCGGGATATTTTGGAAAAATGGTTAGGGCTTTGAACGAAATCGTTATGGCTTCCAGATAAAAAAAAATCGGGGCAAAAGGCGAACTTGTAGGCACATGTTAAAATCCAGGTCAAACATAGATAATCTACATCTACGTGGATTGAGGTTTTCGGCGCCACGAAAGACTGGTGGGATGGGTAGTCTATATGGCTGTTGCTCTTGTTTTGCGCCGCGACTCGGGAGCGCGCAATGGCTCCGTCTAGGCGACGTTGCAGGCGGGAATTGGGGAATTTCCATATTTAAATTCGTTTGTTGCATTTATTAGGTGTAGAGTAGGTTTTTTTTGTTTAGCAAACACTGCCCCAATGATTATAGCAATTACAATTGAACAATAGGATAATAGTGTAAATAGGAAGGCAAACCTGAATTGAATAATATACATTATTAAATTGAATAGAATCGGCCTATAATATAATTAAACATATATACAATTTTGAGATAATTTTGTGCTTGCAAAAATAATGTTTGGTGTTGGGGTGGGCGGGCGATAGAGCTTTAAGATTGCCGACATTCACATATTGTCGTGGCTTTCAGGGTATTGTATAACGAGGTTATCGAACATTCTATAGTAATTATTGCTATGATTTTTGCTTAAGTTCTGTTGGCTGGCTGCCCGTCCCCCCTTGTTTTGGGTTTTGGGGTTCTTTCCTTGTTCTCTTTGTGGTTTTGGGGTTGTCCCGGTTTTTGATTTCGTATTTGGATTGGCATGACGGGTGTTACGAATCGTTATAATTAGGAATCGGGCCTAATATAAATAAGCCGTGTTATAGCTGGGACCCAATATAAACAAACCGCCGCTGGGGTGGTGAGCCCAGCTTAAACAAATTCACTCGGCCTTCGGGTCGAAAAAGAAGGGGAGCAAAAAACGATTTTAGGGAGATTAACCCCGTTATTCATGGTCTACAGCCTCGGGGGGACCGATCCCCATGATCAATAGTCTGCAACCTCGAAGGAGCCGACCCCGTGATTGGCGTTCCACAGCCTTGGGGGGCCGACCCTAACATTAACGACTAATGGTCTACAATTATTTGGTATTTATTTTTGTTTGATAGAAAAATTCAATAAAATATTAATTCAGAGAAAAGGAATTCATTCTAAATTTATATCCGTATATAGTTATATGTCTATGTTAACTCGAATATTATATATAATTCCTAATATGATAATAAATTATATATTGCAAAATAATTATCCTATATATGTGTATATATTATTTGTTTAAGTTAGTTCTATTATCGCTAATAATAATTATTGGAATTCAATTAAAGAAATATGATTTAATTTAAAAAGCTTGAGTTTAAAATTCAAACCAAATATATATATTTTTCGGTTATGATTTCGTATACGTTACTAAAATTAACTAGAGAAAACAATTATTGTCATAACCAAATGAATTTAGAATTAAATTCAATTTTGAATGGGTTATTATCCTAATCGAATTCAATGTGGTTTAAATTAAGTAAGAATTGAGCCAAGCCAATAGTAGGAATATATTTTTAATTATAGATTCTATTTTTTGCATGAATGTTGCAAACGCAATACTTTTTAATATTTATTCAGATTATGTTACCCTAAATCGAACATCGAATATACAAAATTCCACAAATATATATTTAGAATATATTCGATTCATTAAGATTTTGTCTCCTATATTGAAGATTGAAGATCTACCAATTTTTTTATATGAGAATCTTCCATCCTAGTTAGTCCACAAAAAGATATAGAATTATTAACAACATTTTTTCCCCTAGCCAATTCCAGGCAAGATTTTGATTCTAATAACGTGCGCTCCCGGTCTGCTTTTTAGATGTTTCAAAACCGTATTTAAGGCAATCCAAAGATTTAAATAAGAAATCAACAATTATTAATAAATCTTTCTCAAATTCTCTAAATATATATATAGACTAATCTAAGATATGCTAATGTGCTAGCATATCTTGGATTCAAGATTAAAGATTTTCAGACCATTAATTCTAGAAATCTTCAATCTATCCTAAAGACAAATTGGTATGTGCTAACACTCAAGATTGAAAAATCCCAGAGAGAATTATTAAATAATTTTCACTCTTCAATCCTGTATGTGCTAGCATATATTAACCCCTATCAAGACACATAATCCCCTAGACACATGTGAAAGAAATGAGGGAACTATTCCATTGTGCCAATTTGGAAATCCAAACGATTTATCTCGCCGGCAAACACAATATTCGACGCCGCTGTCTTCTAACAAAATACCTTCCGCACACAAATCCATGAGTCCTACGAACAGCATGTCATACCGACTATACATGCAAGAAGCTGGAAAATTACGGAGTCACACCCACAAGGCCCATTATCGACTCTTACCAGCAATAAACACCTAGGAACACGATTATATGCACAACCCTTCGAAATCAGAAAGAAAGACATTTATCGGAAAAAAAACAAAAAACATATTCGAGGCCAGAGAAGTACTTATCGGGTTAGAAAAAAATAATAATAAATAAAAATAATAATAATATGTCTCCGGAATTCTCCCAAAAACGGCCAAGAAAACAAACACCTATTAGGCCCGTTTTTTTATGTTTCTTTCAATTTCCAAATATTATTGTTATTTATCCTTAATATTCCTCAAATCATTAATTCTCTATATATATATTTATAATATAAATTTTAATATACATATTAATTTTTATCTTTTTCTATTTTTATACATTAATATATATTATAACTAGGTAGTAAATAATAAAGTATATTTCGAGTTATATACTAAATTGTATGCTGAAAAACAATCATATATTAAATTAATATATTTATATATCATTATTTAAAAATAGTGATTAATATATATATATAT